TACCTTACTTATTTGTTTAGAGTTAAAATGCCGCAATCTTAGAACCTGTCCATGGGTGTGTTATGCTGGAGTCCCCCTGGATCAGCCCAGGGAGGGTCTTGGGTCACTTCTGACACATGGCAGCCAGGTGAAGGCGGAGTAGCAATCAACCAGTAAGCATCATAGCCAAGGACACAGACTTTGAGGAATCTGCCCTGGGTGCGAGATGACATTTTGTCCTTTGTGCCAACTCACCCAGATGTGCTCTCAGAAGCACCTGTGCCATTTAAAATACTCAACATGGGCAAATAAAAGCAATGTCATTGTTACAGTAGATCTCTGAAGTTATGAATGATAGCACATAAAAATGCATGATATTTCTGCCCCTGGTTAAATATTCTGACAACAACAAGAACATATCATCTCACTATGAAATTTAACTATAGTTTGATGTATTTTGTAGAATAATCAAATATTAACTGGCACTATGATTATATCCATGTTGTAAATAGCCTACTAGAAATTTCAGTAGTTTGTTTCCTGGAGTCAAAACATACACATCCTAGAATTGCTTTTTGTGGTTTGTTCTTGAATTCTGGAATCTCAGGAGTGTTAATTATGACAATGACTTTACAGTGCTTCCAAAGAACAGGGATTTGGGTACACAGGGAATAGCAAAATGACAATTTTAAAATTAAGTTTAATTTTCCCCATCAAAAACATGAAAGTTTATTATTAGACCTGAGACACCAAAGTTCTTTTGCTCATTCTTGGTCGACCAGTAAAGTGTTCGCTTATTATAGCTGAAAAAAGTCACCTGTTCTTGAACAGGATGTGAGGTTTCACTAGCAAGGACTTGATAATTGTTAAATAATGACTTTTTCCCATTATTCTTACTGGCTGCGTGAGATCTTCAAAAACGTGTTAATCTGTTTCTCCACTGTTACTTAAATGAAAGCATTTACAGGTTTTCACTGATGCATTTTTAATGTGTCATCCAAGGTGTCAGGTTTGACTACGCCCTGCAGACTTGTTGAAAGAAGTCTTGTTTAAATTAATGTTATCCTTGCCAAATGTCTTATTAAAAATTGCTTAATTCAACCAAGGAATAAAATGCTTTATAGTTCATTAAAGCTAGAATAAGTGACAACAATAAAATCTTTATAAGAAGGAGTATCACAAAAAAGATATAAGCTCTCAAGTAATAGCAATTTTGATAATGAAACATCGTCAGTGATCCATATCATATTATGCAAATGATGAGCTCCTGTTAAAGAAAATAATTCTAAACAGTTATTATTGTGGATGGGAGCTTCCCCATGTTTACAGTATCACAACAGTTTTCTCATGTAATTCATTCAGTGAAAGCACATAAGTTCATTATTATTTCACTCTTATCCATTGAGAAATATACTTTCTCATTGAAGCTAGACACACACTCAAAGCAGTATAAAATCATAACATCTTATCATTGGACAGAGCCAATTATTTCATCGTTTCCTATGTTTGGTTTGACCCTTCAAAGTCTACTCAAAGATATATAGAAATCTTCTCTTTTAAGCTTATAAAACTTCCCTGATGAATAATTTAACCCATATAATAAATTATCAATGAAAAGTCTCCTCTGAAGAATAAAATACTGCAATAACTCAAAGTATTACCATTTCTCTGCCAAAACACATTTTGTCACATAAATGTAACTCTTTGACCGGGATAATTATCCAGTTGCCCAAGTTTAGGGAGACATCACTGTCTTTCTTCTTAAAATAACAATCTTGTGGTACAGCTGAGTGTGAGGCATACTTTAACATGTGCATGATGGAGAGGGTAAGCTTAGAAAATCAGAATGAGTGTTTGAAGACATTATGCTGCATGGAAGACAAGCTATTGTTGAATTTATAACCATCTCATGGCTGCCTATGTGTACCATAATAACACAACACCCATTTTATATATCCTCAGTTTTCAGAGGCAAGGCTAAGGATTTCTCTCTACTTTTCACCTACTTGTTATGAAAGGCTAATGCATTTAATCCAAATAACATATAAATTGATCCTGAACAGCCACCATGATCTCCTGGTCCTCACACATGATATATTCTTGATTTCAACAGTACATGTAACCCCAACTTAGGTGAGTGCCACAATTAGTATTCCCTCTGTGAGCATCCACGATTGACAAAATCTTGGGCACCAAAATATGGATAAGGAACCTCTTCCCTGAAATTCAAGATGATGGATATGACAAGCAGATATCTAGGTAGTGGGACATTCCAAGTATGGAAGGGAGACATGTGCATTAAGCACATAACATCAATTTGACTTTTGTCCCTCTGGAAGAACCTTCTGCAAGAACCTGAGCACAAGAGTAAAACCTGTGTCCTGAAAAGATTCAGTAACAGTAGCATACCATTCTAAGTCTTTGCGGCAAAGTTACTACATCTCAGTTTCAGGGCACCATTGACCTTCAAAAGACGAGGCTGCCTATTAGAAGACCCGCCATCATAATACATGAGACCCCATTCTTGTAAGTCAAGATTCCAAGAAAGAGAAGTGCAGGTGTTTATACGAAAATGCACCTCTGTGATCAAAGATACATCAACTGTAACCTAACTCAGGTGTCATACAAATTAATAATTGCACACACTTTCCAAAAACAAAACAGGAAAACTCCTTTCTCAGTCAAGCATTTTTCAGGAGAGTGATTTACAAAAGCGGTGCATTTTCAAGGAAGAGACGATATAGTAAAATTTAGGGAACTACAGGATCTACTGACTTCTCCCTTAGATTCCCAGGAAAAACAATTTGCTGAAGGAAAACACTCAATGCAGATTCCACCTAACAACACAGAGGGATGGTGAACCAGGAAGTGACGAAAATGCTAAGCTGTCTGTGGATTGTGAATTTAATCCTGTGTCATGTAACATGAATATAGATAAATACACACAAATGTTTTAGGGCACAGTGAAAATCTGATGAATGAACAAGTGTTCAGAACATTATCACAAAAAAAGAAAAATGAGTTAACTCAGCAATTCTGTACCCTCATTAAACTTTACAAAATTAAAAACTCTTTCAGCTAAAATCTCACATATTATCCATAACACACTTAAATCAGTACTGAGCTGCATGTAGGAATTCTGTGACAAGCTTTAAAAACAGACTAGACTGAATGCATAGCTGAATTATTAACGACACAGAAAAACTTTCAGACTTGTAGCTATGTAAATAATGGGTTGGCTGGCACTGTGGAGCATCAAGGTCAGTCTCCATTTGCAAGGCTGGCAGCTCCAATGAGTCCCAGGTCCCTCGTTCCACTTCTGATCCAGCTCCTCACGAATCTGCCTAGGAAAGCAAGGGTGGATGGAACAAGTGCCTGGGTCCCTGCTATTCATGTGGGAGACCTGAATGGATTTCCAGGCTCCTTGGCTTTAGTCTGGGCCAACCCCAGCCGTGGTAGCCATCTATAGAATGATCTGGCGGATAGAAGATCTCTCTCTCTCTCAACTGTAATTCTGACAAATAAAGAAAGAATTCTTTCTATAATAGTGGAGAATATGCATTCAATCTTTTTGTAGGCTGAAAGCAGATATGTGCATTTATGTTTATATATTTTATCATTAAAATTAAATATAAATTTAAATCAAAAGCATATTTTAAAAGAAAAGTCTTAATTTCTGTTTTTTAAATGCTCCAATAAAAATGGACCAAATTCATTAATACTGACTACTGTGCAATCGCTTGCTCTAGTATTAAAAATTAAGCACATATGAAAGATGAGTTCTACCTCTTAACATATTGCTACTTTAAAAACAAATAGGATGAGAAACACCAAATTACATAAAATATAAATACATATGCTTTTAATAACACTATTTGTAACATACAAGAAAAAAGTAATACAAGTATTTACACTGCACATATTTATTTAAAAGTTTGAAATTTTATTTACCTAAAATCATAGTGTATACAGAATCAGAAACATTCAACAACTCTTTTGAAGATGTGCTTCTTATGTTATTAAAATGATAAAAGTGATTATTAATGAGGCCTTGATCTATTTTGAGGTATCTTTTCATTACTAATGGTGTAATAATTGAGCAACCATTCTACTAAGAAAAACAGATTAAGGCATTATCACAAACACAGAAAAGCATTTTAATGTATGTATTTTTTTTCTTAAATCACAGTAATAAAGAGGACAAAATCAAAGAACTTAGGTAATAGCATGATTCAATCAGAATGGAAGAAAAAAGATTGGCATGTCCCAGGGTCTAAAAAAATTAGTCACAGTTTAAAAAGAATACTGACTTTTAAAGTAGAAATTTGAGCCAGCAAGATTTTTTTTATCAATAAAACCTCTTTGATCTATTTTGAAGTATATTTCAGTTTCTTCTTGACGTTTTTCTGTGTCTAAAAGTGGGGTAGACCACCACTGAACAAAAATCAAAGCCTTCTTTATAACTTATCCATCTTACAAGTGTTGATGCAAGGGTTTAGGAAGTTGTAAGAACAGCAAATCCTCCCACTGCCAAGACTCACTGATTTCTTGAAGTGAGAGGCAGTGCAGGGCAAGTATTCTTCAAAGAGGTAGCATTAGAGGGATTTTTGAGTTTAGAAAACCTCACATTCAACTTTCCGTGAACAAAATAGAAAGTTGCCTGGGTTTCCCTTCCATCTGGAGTTGTCCCTCCTGGCCTGGCTCACTGTCCTACTCCTGCAGGAAAGTGATTTTCTAGACCCTGTTGTACACAAAACAGAGACTGGATGCTGAAAAGGATGTTGAGAAGTGAGCAGGGATTAGCGCGAGGATGATTCGGATGCTGTTGATCAGGGTGATTTCTACTCACTCCAAAAGCATCGCATGGTTTGCTTAAAGTGTATGAGGATAAACAAAAAGAACAATCGCAAAGGGATGAGCCCTGCAGGTACAGTTGGAGGAGGTATGAGAGAGATTTGGGAAAGCGAGGTTGATAATTCTTCCCAACAAGGAAAGCTGAAAGATCACATGCCAGGAATTACCTTACTTGATCTTTTCCAACTCTTCCTCATTAGCATTGTCTGCAAATGAAATAAAGCATTTTCATTATCTTTCATTCAACTACAGAACAGGGCAGCCGATTGGTTTTTTTTTGCGGAAATGCAACATCTATTAGGCCTTTAAAACAGCATACAGTTTTCCAGCAACAACTACACAAGACAAAAACTGTTGTCCGTGCATACACAATTAATGAGTACCTGTAACATTCAGTCTTTCTGGTGAGAGTTCACTTGCTTTTTTTTTTTTAATACAAAACAATAGGGCAGTAGCTTTTGCATGAAACAGAATTTTTTCAAATAGCCTAACTACTGACTGGAAAAGAGCAGTCTTGTGGTTTATTACTATTTCTTTTGGCAGTATTTGCCTAGGATGTACAGGGCATCACGTGGTACGCAACAGCTTTCGCTTTTCAAATGCATTCAAAGCCTACTTCCTTGGCAGAATCTTAGAACCACCCCAGCTTCCAGGGTCTTCTCTGCGTTGAGAAAAATGCTACATGTGGTGATGGTGGCTATTTGTATAACTTCCACTTGAGTTTCTGGCTAAAATATTTCCTTTGAATTTGCTTGTGTCATTAATTTGCTTGTGTCCATTGAATTTGCTTGGTCAGGAGTTGTAAGCCAGTTTCTAAAGATTTGTGGTGTGGAATGAGATCACACTTTCCCATACAAAGTAAAATGTAAAGGCCAAATAGGAGTTTGCGTCTTCATTTCACCTTAAAGAATCCCTAAGGGAACAATGAGGCGTTAAGCTTCCTGATGAACTCTTAAGCTAGTCTTCATTTTATCATCTTTAAAGGCAGATGAAGCAGAGAATCATGGCTATGTGGAGCAAAGATTACGGATGACAGCAATGGTGGTCAAGGTTGTGTATCTAGCAGATTCATAGATGCCTCTAACCACTGCACCCTTTTCAGCAAAAATCCCTATCAAGATGGACCATTCCAGAAACTACTTATAGATTACAAAAAAAAAACACACACACAGAAAGAATTCTAAGGCACTAAATGAAATGATAAACGCAGTCACTGATCTAAACCAAGAGAATAGAGTTATGCAGACGATTGTAATTAAGAATTGCTAATGGCTGTGACACATCACATCCCTTCTTTCTATAAATAATGATTCATTTATATGTTCCTTGTTAAATATTGGCCAAAACATGGAACCGAAATGCAATTCCTAAACTACATTAATTCCTCCCTGTATATAATTTTTCTCCCCCAAACACAGCCAGGGAATTGAAACCGTTGCTATCAAATGCTGCTAAGAAACTCTTGCATGTTTTCTGAGTACTAATGTCAACTCCTTTTGAAGCAACATTGCTCCATGGAGTGATGGGGGTGGACATCTACCGGACTTGTAATATATGTGCGTGGTTGATATTAAATCAGGTATCAACATCAATACCACTTGCTCCATCGTCACCCAAAGACAACTGGAAACCCATTGCTTCACTCGTACATCACAGTCAACTTGCTCTGGACACACAATTTCCACTGACAGAGAACAGTAGTTCTAAGGATAACACTTCAAGTCAATTCAGACAAATAAACAAAAGACTAAAATTTGTTAACGCATGGGGCTATATCATCTTCCCCTAACATATAAAATGTTACAAACTTACACTCTGTGAAGAAGGTGATGGTCTGAGAAAGGGGTTTAGGAAGAAGAGAAGGTCAACACTAGTCTACATCACAAGGATTCTGTACCGCTCAAGGTCACGGTCCTGGCTCAGAGCCCTGCATGTGATAAATCTTCCACGCAGAAGACAAAGCAGAGGCCGAGGCTTCTGCTCTCAAGGTTTGTTTCATCAGCATGCTCTATGGTTTTCTTTTTCAGACTGAGAAATTGATACCAGCAGAATGTCAGTGATTTCCCTTAAGTATAATGTGAAAGAATGGGCAGTTACAAGAACCAGTCTAGTCTGCTCAGTTCCCAATTCAGTACCTAGAATTTTATTTTTGGATTCAGTGATTCAATGATCCTAGATTTTTAAACAAAATTTCCCCTCTTGGAACCAAATCCAACAGCTAAGCAATGGGGTCAAAACATGCCATCATCAAGGCTCTATCCCCGCCTTTTTAAAAACAATAGCTGGGTTAAGGTAGAATCAATAAGCTGCATATAGTACAAAGTTTAAAAATAATGTGAATTTTAATGTATTATTAATATTGATATCTTCACTACAAGGCATGTTAGATTATAGAAGCTTAAACAAAAGAGATGAAGAAAATTCTAGAAGAGTAAAGTTTTTTTGCTGAATGATTTTAATTTCAGCTGAGAAACACGTGCACAAAGTTTGAGAGTGTCAATATATAGTCTGATGGTACTAGTATACGATGATTTAAATTCCTCACTAACATCTGACTTGAAATCAACACAAGGAATAAAAAGCATAAAATATGGCCTGTGATAGAATAGCATCAGGGATTATTTTTAACAGATCCTAAAATACAGATCCATTTTTACTTTCATCTTTTGTTATAGCAAACTTCAAGACAATGATACAGTTACTGTACATATCAAAAAAAAACACCTACATGATGATTAGATATTACTTAGTATTCCTTATAAAACATGCATATTCAACCTCTGTAGGTGGAAATTTGCTGGTTATTTAATAATCGTGAGAAATATAAGAATTAAACAATATTCAAGTACATCTTTACAAAATAATTAAAAGTCACATAGGGTTAATTCCTATGTTTCTGTGACTTTTCTAGTTCTTAATCATAGTCTAACAATTTGTAGGTCAAGGTTATCTAAGAGAGTGTGTAATACAAATTAACTCACTTTTATTTCACAAATTCTCCAATGAAGAAAGCTGTGGATTGAACTCTGCTAGAAAGAGAGCCAGAAAGAACTCAAACACACTGTCACGCTCAAATGCCATAGATAGAGCACAAACAGAAGCATCGCACATGTTCACAGTTCACAAACAGGACATGCAGTGAGCACAGCAAGGACAAAGGTGCCATGCATTTCTCAGCATGCCCCCAACGGAGGCTGGTGTTGGTCCCTTGTACACACAATGCTGGAGACTTAAAGAAATACACATCCATTCACATCTGGAGTTTTTTGGTAGGACTCCAATATGAAGCCAATGATGAAGATTTTTTTGATAGGAAACTACAAAATATATCTCCTAGTCCTGATAATATATGTTTTCAATAGCTTTAACTAGACATTGCCCATGCTAGAGAACTGAGTAAGTTTTTCAACCCCTTTTTCAGTGTTAATACTTTCTAACCTGGCAGTCCACATACGCAGAAATCATGGGACATACTGTCAGTATTTAACAGCATGTAAAAATCCACCAGAGAAGTGATTTGGAAATTCTGGCAACCTTATCATTAAGTACTCTGTATTTCCAGTTATTTATTTTTGCTTGCCTTTTAACATTGTATCTTTCTAGATGTTAATGCTGTATTCCCTATTTGATTACTAAGATTTATTTGCGAAAGGCTTTTGAGGCTCACCTTTTCCATTCTCTATTTTAATACACATAAAATATTTAGCAACATTTTATAAACACAGACATAAGCATAAACATGTGGTTTTTTTGAATTAGAAATTTCCAAGAGCTTAAAATAAATTATTTCTAAGATAATAATTGAAGAGAACAGAACTGCTCGTTTTACTGTGGCATATGAGAGCAAATTCAAAACCGCCCCCTATATTCTTCCCCAATATAACATTCTGAATATTAAATGGATTGAGAAGTACTCAGAAACTAATGTTTGGTTTTCCAGATTTTCAATTTGAATTTCCATAAATAAGATTTATGGCTGGATAATTTGTGAAAATTCGGCACATCATATACACTGCAGAAGTATGACACATATTTTAGGGTTATGAAAATTTAATTTGTAGACTGGATCTCAGATTGTTTTCAACCAAGAAACTTCAAACAGAGCCCAGAAAAAAATGTATTGAACTAAAACTTTGACAAGTTCAAAGTGAAAATATAAAACTTTGACAAGTTCAAAGTGAAAATATAGTGATGGACTAATAATGCATTGTCATCATTAGAAGTCCTCGGAAAGATTCCTGAAGGATTATTTAAGCAGACAATCCTTAACAGTTTGCAAAAGAAAATTAAGTATTATTTAATCACAAGGCAAGATTGTGACAACCAGAGATTTGAATACTGAAGCAAGAATAAACAGTCTTCAACTGTCTTCCCCTGGGCCTTTCCAGTGGTCCTTCCAATCCTCAGAGATTGGCCTGCAACCCACTGAACAACAATGAGGTATGGAATGTCAGACTGGGGCCTGAGAGAAGTCATCAACAGAAAGGTTTCATGCATACATCGCCTCAACCTCAGTAGTAATAGGATGCAAGGTGGAGGCAAGGTGAAATGTAGGCATGTCTTAGGTAGGATAACGACATTGAAGAAGGCTTAAACTAAGAGACAGTGAACTGGGGCAAGCATTGTAAGCAAGGGAGCCCATGTTGTTTATTGCAGAGATGTAAATTTTTTCATCATGAATTCCATGAAGCAGGGAAACATTCACAGGCTGTGGGGACTTAGAAGAAAAAGAATGAAGGTATTGGAGAACTAACACAATGCTTGGTTGTGCTGGATATATATTTAACAGAGGCCTGCAAATGATCTTTGTTCAGAGTATTAAAACCTCATGATCAGAATTGGTAAATGCAATAACTACTTTAGAGATTAAATAGAATGGTCAACAGACCAAGATAAAGAATATACAGAAGTGAAAAAAAAAATGTTTGCCTGTACTTATTGGGAATTTTCACAGAGCAAAGCAAAACCACAACATGGGAGGAAAAAAAGACCACTTGTTTTACTTCACACAGCAGGATCACCCCAGGACAATCAGGAGCTCTGAAAGAGGGGAGCGTAAGTCAGACACTGAAAGAAAAATACCCGAGAGTAAATAATGTTTTCCAAAAGCTGGGGTATCCCAAAGATATGAGTCAAGGAAATGGCAGAATGATGTCAGGGTGAAATCTTATATCATCATGAATGTTGCAAAAATGGAATGAGAAAAATGGAAAAAAAGAGCAAAGAAGAGAAATGAAACCAGATTTTTAAGGTGGGTGACTGTTTCAAGTAGCCCTATTTCTCCTTCACTATTCATATTTTAGAACTCAGTAATAACCCACTCTTTTGAGCCATAATATTTTCAGATAATGTTTTTGTTATGAAGAAGATGTACCCTAAAATTCTGAGTAGCCATGAATTATAGAACTCGCATGACTATCCAAGAAACACTTACTCCTAGGAACCAATTTGCCTGTGTTGACACATATTTCTGTGTCATTTAGAACTCAGTAGTGTAATGATCAGATCTTTAAACACTGACTTGATCACTCAAATGTTCAGCTGTAGGTGGGGGTACTTAATAAGAATTCCCTGAGTGTGAAAATTCAGCAAACTATCCAATATCAGATCACTCAAATGATGACAGTATCCGAACTTTCCTTCCCATCTCCAGTATGGAAGGTTTGTTTGGCACATAAAACCTCAGGTACTTCAATGTTTTGGTTTCTGAGATGTTGCTCTTCAGTAAAATAACAAGAACCCTAACACAAGAATATTTTATCACCAAGTTATGTTGGTTTTACCTCCTGCAGGTAAGCCTGCTGACTTCCTTCCATCTCTCCTGACAAGACTATAATTTTCCCCTTGGATCCATGGAACAGTTTCCCAATTGGTCTCCAGATATCTATTTTTACTCCTCCACTCTGTTATCCACAATATGATTATTGAGCTACTTTGAAGATAAATAGCATGTTATGTTACTTCCCCTTTGCAGACTTCTCAATGGCTCCTTAATGTTCATTGGGAAAAGACCAAAACCTTAACAAGACCCAGGGGCGCTAGAGAGTGTGATTTCCCTTCCACTCTAGAGTCACCACGCGCAGAGATTCCAGATACATTTTTGGCTTCCAATTGCTCTAAGCTTTGGTACTTTTCAGTTCGTAGAATACAGCCTGGAACCTCTGGCCATAGGACTTTCACATGTGTTGGTAGGCTATTTCGTTTCTAGACGTTTCCTTATTAGCTCCAATTCACACTTCAGATTTCATTTCTTTATAGATAATCTGTCTCTCTGGATGGAACAAGTTTCCTACAATTGCTCTTCAGAAACATATGCCTGTCTTCCATGGCTTTAAAGCACTTGCCATTTTATACTTCCTTTTATTATCAATTGATCTCCAAATTCTACCCCAAATCTTTGGTCTACTCTACCATGAGTAGCACAGTAATGAACTTACAGCAGGGCCTTAGTGAATACCAGAATACTTGATCAGAACACAAATTTAACATTTTATATTTTAGTCCTGTGTATGGATCAGCCACCTAGAATATCCTTCTTGGTGTGTACCAGCTGACTCAATATCTACTGAATTGATGATCTCTCAAATGCTTGGCTTCCATTTCTAAACATTCTCCGTAAAAAAAAAATCCTCATCCATTGTTCCATCAGCACACATATATATTTATAATTTCATCATGCTAGGTTCCCACCATAAGTGTTATTTGGCAATACTTTCTGGGAAAAATGCAAATAAAGCATGGATCCTTAACTCTACTTGGAAAATATTATTTATGAATTAATGTGCTCACTCTCTCATCTTTTTAAAAGAATAGTCAGAAATTTCACCAGTTGTAATCTTGGGAAAACTGCTATTATCACCTTTTTGGAAAATGATACATACCTGCTTGGGTCATCTATTCTTATATACAGCAATAGTCATGCTACTAAAATAGATTCTTGAACTTGCTTTAAATGTTGATGCCCATCACTATAATATGTCATAATCAAAGCCAGTGGGAGTAGTTCCCAGCTGACTGAATGCACATTGTACCCAATAAAACATCTCTGGTAAAGTGTGGCAGCAGGTGTGCTGGCTAGCACACTGACCAAAACACATCTTCCATAGCATCACTTCCACAGCATGGCAGTAACTGGTCCTTCTGTGTCTCTGTAAGTTTCTCATAGCAGCATGGTGTGCAAGGAAGTATGGACAACTAATGTTGACAATATGGGTAAAACCAACATGGGAGCCCATCAAGAAGATGAGAAGTACTAATTTATCATTCAGTCAACAAATACCAGAAAGCAGAAACTCTGTTATAGGTTCAGACCATTTTCTTTGTTATAGTACGCTTGACAATACGGTTAGAATACTAGAGTCTGGATACCATGTTGCGGAATTCCCAATACTTAAATCACTAATAAATGTTTTCCTTGAATAAATAACACTTTTGAAATTAAGACTTAAAATTATGAGATTCAAGTCTACAGAGAAGGAATACCTTCTTTACAACAAGAGGTTCTGATCTGGAGCATGAAAAAGAAAATTTGAGTTGAAAAGACAGAAGAGGTAGGTACACATGATGTGCAGGATACTCACAGAACAAAGGACAGGCCAGCATTTCACACGCAGTTTCTCTTTCAGATTATCTCTGGGTCAAGGGGAAGCTCACAATCTTTGAATAAACGAGAGCGAGAAAAGAGAGCTCGGCTGGGGTTATGGAGCAACTTACCACATGTCTGGATTCTCCTTCTTTAGGGGTAAGAACCACCGAGAGCAAAATGATTCCAAGATCATGATCAGGATAATGAGGGTCCTTCAGAGGCAAGGTCACATCAGTGGGCCTGGGATGTAAAATAGATTGTGAGCAGTTATTAAATAAATATGCCAAAATAGGTTTTGATCAATGATTTATTAAAGAGAACATTTTATCTTCCTTTACTTTCTTAGTACAAATGTGACTATTGCCATCAAATTAAGAGCATTATTGTATCCAGTAGTCTTTGGGCCAACTGGGGATTTTTTACTTCATTGGATAAATTTTGACCCTTTATGGTGTATTAGAAAGTTCCTGAAAAGGCCAAGAAACGACAACACTACTGGAAAGTTGGAAATCCCTTCTCTCTGAGTTTTAAACTCACAGAGAGCAGAATCCAAAGTGGAACAGCCAGGATACAAACCAGAGCCTATCAAACTGCTGGAGTCACAGGTGGCATCTTACTTGCTACAAAGGTGATGCTGGCCCTAAATTAGTACTCTTTAAAAGCACCTGTTGGTTGAGCTGACCACTGTGGTTGTGGTGGAAGATCCTCTCTCACTCTAACTCTCTAACTCATCCTTTAAAAATAAATGAACAAATCAATCTTTTTTAATGTATTAATTTGATGTTTACAAGGACTTGAGGGCAGAGAAAATGACAAGCTAAATCGATTCAATAGCTGATGGTGGTAGAATGAATCCACACCCAAAGCTTGCATATAATCTTCTAAAGTTTTAATGATCACAGTTCTCCATTTAAAAATGGTTTTTCATCCATGATTTATCTTCAGTGGAGAACAAGATGAATGTATGTTCTGGATGAAGTTCAGCGATTTGCATATATGCATGCAGGGTCTATGGAGAAAGTCCCTGTGGCATTTCTAGAAGCAGAGCAAGCCCATTCTACAGTGAGCTATTTTCATGATGAAGCACACCATTCAGAGCCTTTTATAAAGGACATTTCCTCTAGCAGCAGGGAGGTGGGGCCCAGCAGATCCTTAAACTCTGACCTTCAGTCACACCTGGACTGGGCTGCAGGTTGGAAATCAAGGTAGTTAGGAAGTCCAGGAGAGGTTGCTGTTAGTCCCACTGGAGACAAAATGACCAGAAAGAGACCTGACCACTGCCACTGTGTCCAAACCGAGCAGCCTGTAATGTCCTGAGTGCCTTTCTCTGAGCATCTGCATCTGTGGACTTGACAGCAGCAACAGGGACCATGTCTCATCCTTCAGTTTCCACTAGCCCTGCCATGGAGTGCCACAGAACCATCTAGAACAGACAGGGTTCCCTCTTCTTCAGCCCATCAAAGTTCCCCAAGCTTTCTTTGGGACTCCCTCCCAGTGTTATTGATCTCCTTTAAAGCCCCCCCCCCCTTCTGCAGCATATGTTGTGCCTAGTCCCTATGTACAAATGCCATCAGAAAAAATATATGCCCATTATTGGTGCAAGGGAAAATTAACATTGTAGATTATCTCTAGTCTGAACATCTAAAATCTGAAATGGTCTCAAATCTGAAACTTTTTGAACTCTGACAATGATGCCACAATGAAAAAAAATCCACGTCATGAAATCATATTTCATGGACAAAACTGTTCAAAAGATTGTACAGGAGCAGCCTTTGTGGCTCTAGGGATTAAACTGCAACTGAAACATCTATAATCTTGTATAACAGTGTCACCTTGAGTCACAACTATTCCACTTCCTATCTAGTTTCCTGATAACATATTCAGGGAAGCAGCAAATGATGGATCAAAAACTTGTACCCCAACACCACGTGGGAGACCCAGATGGAGTTCCACAATCGGGTTTCAACCTAGCCAAGCCTTGGGTTCTGTGGGCATTTGGGGAACTGTTCTACCTTTTAACAGACAAAAGTAAAGAAATGAACATTCAAAATAAATTACTGCATTAATATTACCATATAGCTTCTACAGAACGTAAGTAAATTTTGTATACAGATTTAGGCTCTACTCCAGGGTGTGTGTGTGTATATATCAAGACCTAAAAAAAGCTCTCAAATCTACAATACTTTTAGTTATAGGCATTTTAGATAAGAGAATATTTAAACTGCAGTGATAACAATGTAACTTTGCAGCTAGTCAAGCCATGATAAGAATTCACAGCCAATCTGCCCACACTTTTAGAATAGCAGCAAATGATAGTAAACTGGGATAATAAAATCAGGTTTCTCCCTAGCTCAGGTGATGAGAGTTACTGATACCCAAGCAAAGAGCACAGGTTTGATTTCACATATGGTAACCTGATTCTTCAATATAAGAATTACGGTGAACAGGTGTAATGTCTTTATGCCCCAATATACCATCTGTACAACGGCAGGGCAAGTAGTGTGTCTCTCGTCTCTAGATTCGTTGTTTGGTAGAGTGTTGTGGGCCAGAGCAGGTAACCCCAGATTTTTGTGGTGAATAACTGTTGGATCAGGTAGTTCTTATTTCAATGGGTAGATGAGGAAGGTGGAGCAGACATGGGCTGGCAGGCTTGAAGACTCGCAGCCATAAAACAGGAGTGATGAGAAGTGAGGTGACAGGAATGGTCCATTGCAAAAACTCAGCTGCATGTGTCAAGGTGTAGCGATACTGCGACAGCTCAGAAGTTACCTGTTTAATTCCAGCTGTGTGAGATCCAGAAAGGCTGAGCCCATGAAGTCATCTTGTAGTCCAAAATCATAATCAAATACCTAAAATCCCAAATAGACAAGGCATTGTTACAAATGACTAGGATTCTAGATGAATCTTTATTGTTGAACAAACAGAAATATCAAAAGAACCAAACCATCTCATACAACTTTAGAAAGTTCACCTGTACCATTACAGGCTAAAGGCATGGGTGTCCAGTGCAGTGGTTAATGCGTGCTTGGCAAAGATGAAGTTTCTGTTTGTGCAGCTTCCATCCTGTACTGGAGAGCATGGCTGGCGTTGACTCTGCTTCTGATCCCAGCTCCTACTGTTGCTCGTGACCTTGGGTCTCTGCCATCCATGTGAGAGACCTGGATTGACCTGCTCCATCCCTGGCTAGAGGACCTCTTTCTATTTTGTGTGTGTGTGTGAGAGAGAGAATCTGTGCTTCAAATAAAACACCACCGCCAACATGCCGGTTAAGACACAGTCATCCCTTTGCAGAGTACTTTTGGTACCAGCTCCCAAGTCCATCACTCTTTCCACGTTGACAGCAATGTGGACTCAAGTGAGGACATGTGGGAAGCACTGAGTTCCCCACACCTGGTTTCATCTCAGACAATCCCAGGCTGTTTTGGGCAATGAGTCAGAACGGGAGAGATAAATTCTCTCTCATAAACACATAAAATTTGAAATAAAAACACTGAAGATCTACACGTTTCCTTTTTATAAAAATTCCTGTTACATTTACTTGAAAGGGAGATTTACAAAGAAAAGGCAAAAACAGAGAGACAGATCTTCCATATGCTGGTTCACTCTCCGAGTGAACACAACAGCCGGAGTTGGGCTAATCTGAAGCCTGGAGCTTCTTCCAGGCTTCTCATAGGGGTACCACGGCTAAGGACTTGGACCATCTTTGCTGCTCTCCCAGGATCATTGCAGGGATATGAACCAGAAGTGGAGCAGCGGGGATTGAACTGTTGTCCACATGAGATGCCAGCAGTGCAGGCAGAGGTATAACCCACGTGCCACAGTTCTGGCCCAATCCATATGGCTCTTACATGAACTGAAGCAATTACTCATAACAAACGGGTAGATTTACAGGAGAAGTAATGAAAAATAAATTCCTTTTTTATGCATTTTTTCTGAAGTGACGGTAATGAGATCCAAACATTTGGGTGCTGTCCTTGTCAGCACCTGCTTCTTCTCCCAGCCCATTTTTCTCTCCGCTGCAGCACCTTTAATTTGCCTGACCATCTGCTCCCCAAAATCCTTCTTCATAACCCACCGGTCTTCTACTTGTCCTTTTTCATTCCCCATCTCGTCACTTGACCATAAAGGTAATTTTTTCCTCATATGGCTATTTCTTTCTAAGAGTAAGGTCAAAGAAACACATGTCTGACCACAAGCATCTCCGCTTGGTGGTGGCCATGACACACAGTCTCACAACTATTTCATAAACACTCTTGAATTAAAAACACGCTCTTATTAAGAATCCTGCACATGGGACCCGGTGCAGTAGCCTAGCAGCTGAGGTCCTCACCTTGCATGCACCAGGGATCGCATATGGGCACCAGTTCTAATCCTGGCAGCCTTGCTTCCCATCCAGCTCTCTGTGGGCTGGGAATGCACTTGAGAATGACCCAAAGCCTTGGGACTCTGCACCTGCAAGAGAGACTTGAAGGAGCCTTGTGGCTCCTGGCTTTGGACCAGCACAGCTCCGGCTGTTGTGGCTGCTCGGAGAATGAATCAACGGATGGAAGATTTTTCTCTTTGCCTCTCCTCCTCTCTGTATTTCTGACTTTCAAATGAAAATAAATAAATCTGGGCATGGTGCGGTAACCTAGTGGCTAAAGTCCTCACCTTGCATATTCTGAGGTCCCACATGGGCTCTGGTTCTAATCCTGGCAGCCTTGCTTCCCATCCAGCTCTCTGCTTGTGGCCTGGGAAAGTAGTGGAGAATGGCCCACAGCCTTGGAAACCTGCACCCCCATGGGAGACCCGGAAGAGGCTCCAGGCTTTGGTTTGGCTCAACTCCAGCCATTGCAGCTGCTTGGGGAGCCAAGGGTGGAAGCTGGGAACACAGTTGAGGTCTCTCAAATGGTCTGAGGAATCTAACAGCTTGAGCTGTCTCCAAGAGCCTTGCATTAGCAAAACGCTGCAGTCAGGAGCTGCAGGTGGGTAGGAAACCAAGTATTTGGATATGTAACTTGGGTATCCTAATGAAAGCCTAACCAGAAGCCAAATCAGTGTCCTCTTGCCATCGTTTCAGTAGCAACTGGGCTATTTGTTTCTATGGTGTGGAGGAAAGAAACAGCAGCAGACAATGGAATGGAGATTTGAGGGGAAGCAGAATGTCCTATGACTGACTGTGTGAGATCTGCGGCTCCGACAATGGTGGTCATTTAGGGAGGGAGGAAATGCAGTACTGTGGTGACAGAAGGAATGGGTGACTGAACAGATGGTCAGAGTGCACCAAACGCAAACGTTGAGAGATATGAATGGAATTCTGGTATGGAAATAAAACTGGGAATTAGAATTTTAACAGACATTCAGCTTGTAACTTTCTTAAGTTCCTCCTCTCTTCATCGTAAAAAAAAAAGTCATTTTAAATTGTTTAATTTTAAAGATAGAGTGACAGCAAGAGGGAAAAAAGGAAAAGGCAAAAGAGGAAGAGAGCGAGGGAGAGGGAAAGTGAAAGATGGAGGGAATGAGAGCGGGAGGGACAAAGAGCAAAGTGGAGAAAGAAGGGGAAGGTGGAGAGAGAGGGAGGGGGAAGGGAAGGGAGTGGTGTCCTCCTGGTTGTTACACTCCCCAGCCTCTCCTTTTTATGACATCATTTTCAACTACAATTCCAGGAACACTGTATCATCTGCACGGAGATAGCGTAGGCTGTGAGTGGGCCTTTCTCTGTCTCCAGGCTCCCAGCGTGCACTCCATCAGCGGCTGCACCAAGCAGCAAAGGCTGGGCTTCCGGAAGCCTCCCCACTAGGGGGCAAGAGAACCATCCTGAAGGCCAGCTGCTCACCCTTCCTTCCTGTCTCCAGCGCAGTGTCAACAGTGCCAGGAATATCAGAGTATACCCCTTGAGGGAAAAATCTCATCAGACAGACAGGCTTATAAAAGCTATCCAGCAGGTCTTTCCATGACAGATTCCATTAGGGAAACACAAATCTCTCACCTTTACGTACAGTGGCTCCCTAAGGTGATCCACAAGAAGGCAAGCTTTTTCTTCCCACACAGGATTGAGGTTCTTGTGTATTATTTTACTTCTAAAAACTTCTTTTCCTCCAATTTTAAACTTCACGTATGGATCACTTGTCCCTGTTAAAAAGATACGAATTTGTCTCTATTAAATGTGCCTCCTGAGGAGTTCAGAGACCTGCTTAAGGAAACAGCACAAACGGATCAAAGAAACACAAATTAGTCACACAGCAAAGCAAGCTTCAAATGTCTCCTTCCTACTTTTTTTTCTTTCTCTGTGGAAGGCATAGTCAATTATTACTTTTTTTTTATCATTATGTCATCTTCTGATTTTAACTTTGTATGTCCTATTTTCAAAAAACTGCATGGTGCACATGTAAATTTAATTCAAGCTATAAATCAGAGATTAATCTGACATTCATGTGTATGTCATCTCTATGCGCATATGTGATCCTAAAATTGATATTAATATTATTAATTATCTTTAAAAACTGATATTAATATCATAGAATAAGTGACAATGGTCATAAAAGGGACAAAGGGTATACTGTCATTTATATAAATTGATTCAGTGAAGCAATACTTATAGCTAATTCCAAGTGTTATGACACATACAATTTTCCTATTTGCAACATACATTAGCTTCAAGAAGTAAGAAAAGTCACATAATATTTGTCTTTCTGGGTCTGGTATATCTATTGCTTGGCATAATTAGCTCCAGTTCCATCCAACTAGTTCAAATGTCCAGATTCAGTTCTCTCTTTTTTTGGTTATATTTTTATTTTGAATTTTTGAATTTTGTGATACAATTTCATCTAGACTGGAATTCACCCCCAAACTCCCACCCCTGACAGATTTTCCCCATGTTGCTGCAATAGTATAGTCCTTCATTCTTTTTTCTATTGATGAATATATTTTTCACAGAACTAGAAAAAATATTAAAATCCCATAAGTAAACATAAAAGACCTTGAATAGCCAAAGAAATCATAAACAATAAAAGCAAATTGGAGGCACTATGAGCCTAGATTTCAATGCATACTACAGGGATGTTATAGTCAAACAACCTGCACATATAGACCCATGGACAGTACAGAAACCCCAGAAATTAATCCACGTATTCACAATGAACTAAACTTTGTGTATTCACAAATCACTCCCTGGAGAAAGGACAGTCTCTTCAACAACTAGTGTTGGGCTTCTCACATGCAGAAATTTGACATTCGAGCCCTACCTTACATTCTATTAAAAAAAAATTAACTCACAACGGATTAAGAGTCTAAATGTAAGGCCTGAAACCATCAAATCATCAGGGCAAAATACAGGGAAACACTGCAAAAACATTGGCCTAGGCAATCACTTCTTGTATAAGACCTCACAAAAGCAAAGCATGGGCAAACGGGGCTAAGCTAAGTGGCTTCTGCACAACAAAGGAACAAATTAACAAGGTGAAGAGACACCTGCCAGAGTGGGAGAAGATCTTTGCAAACTGTGCATCCTATAATGGATTAATACCCAGGACATACAAGGAGCTCAAGAAACCTAACCACCGTAACAAAAACAATCCAGTTGAGACCTGAACAAAAAGTATAAACAGATTTTTTTTCTCTCATCCCTCCCTCTTTCCTTGCCTTTCCTCCTTCCTCGCTTGCTTCGTCTCTCTCTATTCATTTCAAAGTCAGAGTTACAGGGAGAGGAAGAGACAGAAAGATCATCTATTTGCTGGTTGCTTCCACAAGTGGCTACAATGGCCAGGCTGGGGTCTGAATGTTGGCAGCGCCTCTCAAATCCACACTCAAATTATACCCCCAGTGTAACAGTATGAGAGTGAGGCTCTTCAGTGGTGATTAGATGCTGGGCACTCAGCCCTTGTGAAAGTGTTAGTGCCTCCTAACTGGACTGAAGGGTCAAGTTCACTTCGACCCACCTATTAACGTCTATAACTATCATTTTTCTAAAAAGAAATCCAGTGGTCAAGAGTATATAGAAAACGCCAGTTTAGAAGAAAATCCAATAGATTTGTTTTCTCCAGCCATTTAATCCATGTATGTACACCATGGGTCTCCAAGGCGGGCTGGCATGTGATTCTTCCAAGACTCCGTGTCTGTGGTTACTACTTCCCCACAGCGGGTCTCAGCGATGCTTATCCAGTGCTAAGGGAGAAATGTCACCACACTGTTTGATAATGAGGAAGTTTACACGCTTTGGAGTCTTGTGATAACAGGCTTTCCACTGAACTCAAGTAATTCTATTGTATTAGGATTCCTACTCAATTAAAGCCCTAATATTCAGCTAACTTTAATGTATTATACAAAATATTCAGTGTCATGATTGAACAAACCATAGAGTTTTGTTGTAATATTGTATGGAGCCACAAGATGGCACTAATACACATCAAATAAGTGAACATCCCATGTTTTTGCTCTTCAAGAGTATTTCTACTGCATTTTGTGGCAACGTTAGCTTTGGGAAATTATTTTCATTAAAACATTTTTGTGGTGAATGAAAAAGCATGGATGATTGGACCAGGAACTGTTGGTCCTACAACAAAATTAAGATCTTATTTTATCAAGTAAGAAAAACTACTTGGTTGGCAGCCTTAACTTAAGAATTTACTTTTTGCAAGATTATTCTATGAATTCCATATTTTTTTAAAGTTCTGGAACATTATAGACCTTGGAAAGTTCACTTGTTTATTTCTGAACTCTTGCATCACATGGTTTTAAAAAGAGGAACCACCACTTCTCTTTTAGAAATGAAACAGATATCCCCACTGTTGTCTTTTTAAAGATTAGATCTCAGACCACTGCGACAGTGCTTGCTGTGCTTAAGACAGCCTGCGTCCCATAGTGCAGTGCGTGGCTTTGAGTCCCGGCTCTGCTCATTTCAGCCCCTGCTCATGTGCATCCTGGATGGCTCAGGGCCTTGGGTCCCCGTCACCCATGAGGAAGACCTGAATTGGGTTCCTGCTCTTAGCTTTGGCCCCGCCCAGCTCAGGCGGCTGTGGGTGTTCGGATGGAAGGTGACTAGCAGATGGAATAATGCTCTCCGTTTTCGTGTCTCTCTGATTTTCAAGTGAATAGAGTAAAAATCAGATTACTGAAAAAAACTTCATTTTGTGATATTGCGCTCTTCAGGTAACTTAAGCCCAACAAAATTAAAACTGGTATGAACAAAAGTGCAAGCAATAAACACTTCCTACACAAGGGGGCAGCCTCTCTTCCTTTAAGACCACATTTCCAACCTGAGTGTTTAAAATGCCACCAGCCAAGGAATGGCTTTCATTTTCAGAATAAATGCACTTCCTGATTAGCAGGTATAATTCCATCTGCTCTTGAACCTAGAATGCATTAATTCTGGGTCCTAATAAAAACCACACCAAATTGTAATGAAAGAAGGGGAAAAACAAGTGAATACTGCACAGATAGTTAAAAAGAGTTCAAGTTTAAGCCAGACCTTCTTAAAACTACCCAGCCTGACTGCAAACGCAGAGGTGGAGGGTGCCTCGGCCGTCCAAAGGCGACAGTGGGATATCTTTGCACAGAAGGTTCCTCCCTCCCCCAAGAGATCCTAAACACACCCTGAGCAACAGATTCTGTCTTTACACCAGCACGTATCTGCAGTGAAGGCTTTTCAAATCTTCAAAACAGGAACTGGAGGTATTAAGTTTCCCCTTAAGCATTCCTATTCTTTTTTTTTTTTTTTTGATATTTGCAATACCCTACAATGGAAATATTTCGTAGAATTAACTAAATACAGTTAAATACAAATAAAATAGGTTTCTAAGCGCATATGTTTCACATAATAAAACTAAGATTCTTCAGCATCAGTAAAATTGCTATTCGAATGAATTGAAACTTTAGTGAAATGTTTGAGAGCATGGAGGCTCTAAAGTGTCAGCCAACGGACCTTGGAAAGATTTCCCCATCCTTGGATTGACAAGACTGACAGCATTCCAGAACTACTGAGGCCACTTTAGCAGAACACTTGGAGCATCGTGGGTTGGTAGCAGATGGCCGTTCCCCATCCCCAGGTACGGAGGCAGTCGGCAGGCTCGGCAGAGCTTCTCCCATTACCTCCATTTTCACCCCAGGTACAGGGGAAGAAAAAGAAAACTTGGATTAATGGTCCCACTCACGTTTCCCTAACCCTTGATCCCCCCCCCAATTAACTATGCAAACATCAAGAATAAAAATAAATAAAATTAGAAAAAAGATAAATTTTAGCTAATGACCTTACTGTGATGTAACACATAGATGGATTAAAAATGATACTATGTGAAAAGGCAGCATTGGCTTGAACTTGGAAAGTTTACTTGAGAAACAGAAGAGACTTCACAGAAGTACGAGTTCTTCATCAAATTCACAGAAATTGAGCATTATTTTTTATGCCATTTCCCTCCAAACTACTTGAAGCCCCTTCATACGGATAAGGTATAAAAGACAGAAATAGGCCTGATATGTATTCATGGTCTGCTTGGGATGAATACGACTTCATCAAACTTCCCTTTATATGTGGCATGAATAGTTGGTATCCATCTCCTGGTGGTTTCTGGAAGTTTGGGTAAAATAAAACGTGGAAGGGTAGTGGTTTCATGCACATTTTCTTCCTGCTTTCAACAAACACTGCTTTAATTTTGGACAAAAGTTGCGTATTAGCCTATGATGCACGAACAACCACAGAAGCGTGTGTTGGATGTCACTTTCCAAAGGTCCTTCAGCTCATAATCTCCAGAAATACCCCGTGACCCTGAACGTACTGACACTTTACACTGAATTCTTCACTGTTAGAAAAACATCTATTTTTTTTTTAATGCAAAGAAAAGCAGTTTCTTCTAGAATTTTATGATGTATCTCACAGCCATCCTAATAAAAAAAAAATAGATGGCAAAATATTTGAAAAGTTACATGCAAATCTCCCATATCTAAACCCTAGTGAACCCCTTGTTTTCCTGACTATTCCAATGTTTTTTTTTTTTTCCAAAAGTGCTTCCGTTGAGTGTCATCAGGGACTTTTCTAGAAAACCACGTTAATTCCTACAGCCTTTGTTTAGTCTGCCTGCTTCCCCTGTGAGGATGACATTGAACGTTAGAAATTCAGATCTGGTGTGTTCTTTGTCATT